CCAGTAAGACTACCGTTGGTGATCATTTTCTACAATAAATCATACATTTCCATCATAAAAAGTAAAAAGAAAAGAAATAGTACATTCTAAAATAATATACGATCAAACTCCGAATATTGATTACATTCGTTAATTAATAGAACGGAAATAAATTAAAAAAAGAGCTCTTCAGTATTGAAATAACTAAAAGTTCTAACGAGCAAAAAATTATGATGCAAAGGAATACTATTTTTAATAAACATGAACCACGACACATGACAATATACAACTTCACTGTGTTATAGAAATAATAAATCTAATCATTATATACTATGCGTTCAGGTATCATTGAGTGCTAACAAAATGTATACAAGATAGGTATTCTTTCCACAAAAGATATCATTTATCACAGTAAGCATCAAAGTAATGAAACTTTTTTCTGGTAAAGAAAAATTACAAATAAATAAGTAATTTCTTGAAATTACTTATTCTCTTTTCGCTACTCGACTCCAACTGTTTTCATGTTCCTGTTTTTCTACTCTTGACATTACAAAGGTGCAAAATAAAAACATTAAAGAACAGTTGATTCAAGCTAAAATTTCGACGTTTCTTTTTCTTTTGAATCAAAGATAAGCAAAGAGCATTATAATTTGAACAGAATATTCTCATAGTACTTATCTACCTATTCCTCTAATTAAATAGATTCTCACTTTAAAAAAATATAATTTTTGTAGTACACTCTAAAGAATCAAAGCAATAAGAAATTATGCAGCAGATTCTAACTATATATACTTGAAAAATAAATTACCTATTTCTTTTCAGCACTGTCTGAAGTAATTAATAATATATGTGATTGTGTACTAGCCATCGACTACATTTCAGCGTATATTCATTTTAAAATTATATAGCAATTCAGTCTGAGTCTTTACAACAGGGATATCACTGTATTTTACAAAGAACAAAGATTATCTTTATTCTAAAGCTAAAGAATAAAGAAAATATTTTCAAGCGATCGATAAATAGATGAATAATTGATATAAAAACAGATAATATTGATCGTAGTTTTTTCTTATTATCAGTCACATTCTAATATGGGATAATACTAGCAAATGAATGTGAGGCATAAAAGATTTATGGGAAAACTTGTCTCTAGAACCTTTTTTAACCTGTATCCTTACAATATTTCACGACTTACCTACAGAAGAAAAAATTTTAGATTCTAAAAAAAAAAAATTCTTTATCCTTTATATTAACTTTATTTGTTAAAATAAGGTGACTTTTTCATTATCTTTATTTTATGAAGATAAAGATTTACTTGATTTCTTTATCATGATTTTCAAAATGGAGATTATCTTTATTCTTTACAAAATAAAGATAAAGTAAAGCTTTATCTTTATTTATAAAGTAAAGGTAAAGTATATTCCGTACTGTTCATTTTCTTTTATTTCCGTTCTTCAACAGATACTTATCATTAAGACTGAATAGTCTGTGTTAACAAATGAAAATCAAAAATAAATTTACTAGAAAATTGATAAATATGATAAGAAATAAAATCTTTAGGCATTGTTTTCTGCTATATGTTTGAATAAACTCTGTAAACTACTCTTTGGTCAGAACAAATATTAAATTTATGTAAATATCTAAATAATTAAATCTTTTTGTGAAAAAGAAATGTTTTGAAATGATAAGAATACTATTGATTAGTTAGTTTATCGAATGTGACGACGATCGTTCTGAAACTTAAATTTTATATTTCATGCCTTTTATTTCAGGGATGGATCACTTAACTTAATTCTAAGTTGAGTCAAATGACCCACCCCTATCCATCTCATGTGTTTCCTCGATAATGCCGATTAATTCACTTTATTCTGTAACTACTAATGGTCCGGTCAGTGATTCTGCATCATGCTCCGATTTCTTAAATGCACTGATATTGATAGATACTGCTTTTATGGAAGATGCTTCACAGCGTGAATTAATTATTGAATTAATGGATCAATACTCGCTTCTGTTTGATATATCTGAGCCTACTCTTGCACAAACATCAATGAACCATGATATTCACACACACAATCATTCGCCAATTACAAATCTTAATCGAGTGCAATTGAAGTACCACTTCTTCGTCAAACTTTTCTTTCAGAAGTTCTATTTGCATTTTATGATCACCCTTCAGATGGTCAGTTTGGTCGTGATTGTACTTTTCCTAAGCTTAAGACTAGATTTTATTGGTCACAAATGTATGAAACAATTAATTTATATATTAAATCTTATCGTGACTATGCTCAACATAATATCCGTCCACTTAAACCGGATGAACATCTTGAACCTATTGCTCCTCCAACAGAAGTCTTTGCTATGGTGGGGTTAGATTTTTAGGGTCCATCCATTGAACAATTTGCATCTGGTAATCGTTGTGTAATAGTTCTGATCAATTACTTCACAAAATGCGTTATTGTCAAGGCTGTTCCTCGAAACACTGCACAAATAACTACTGAATTTATTGTGGAAACCAGTCTCACGTTTGGAGTACCATCTTATATTCTTACTGATCAAGGTATTCATTTTGGTAATGAATTAATAGCTGGTGTTTTATCGGTTTTCAGCTGTGCACATACTTTTGCCACTGCTCATCATTCTTAAGCAGATGAATTGGTTGAGAGGTGAAGATCTTTTATGTTTATTTCTTTTTCGTACAACTCTTCTCTCTAGATGTACGCAACACTTTTCATAATCATCCGGATCATCTTCCCGCAAGGGGGAGGCGTTATAGTGTCATTGAGACATACATATACGATTTCTCTTTTCGTGTTTTCATCTACTTCTATTTTCCAAACGTTTTCTTCTGATAGTGTTTAGTATATATAGTGGAATGTTTTAGCATCGATCAGTTAGATCGATTCACCCGCTAACAACGATAAATTTATGTGTTTCAGTTGTTGGTATTCATTTTGAACATTTGTGGTGAACTGAATTATTTAACATAAAACTTTGAAGAACATACTAACATATTATTTAAAAAAATCGATTAAATTGATTGAGTTATATAAGAGACATTTGAATTAACTTTCCGAAGGAACTTTTGGGTCATCCTGTATATATCATTTATTTATATAAGAAAATCAAAACAAAAGTATATATACACATATGCTACAATATGTCACCGTCTAAACATTCATTTAGGATTGATCACTGCAATGTGTTGTGATCGTTGAAATAAAAGTAAACCTTTCCATCGTAGTTTCTTGCGCATCTCAGAAAGAGTACTAAGACAGACAAATGGAAACAAAAGAGTAACGAAATAACATAAATAATCAGCGTAAACTTGTACACCTCCACCAAAGCTAGGGGGTAGACCGCAAATATGACCTAACGTAACAAGATTGAGTGGAACATTCGCCGCTAAAAATAAGATACAAATAGAAAATAACTGAATTGTCATTTTACGTTGTCTACGCCATAGATTAGCTTGATGAAGACGTCGTTTCTGAACATAAACACGAGCCAATACAAGTATACTAAATACAGTAATTATTGCAGTTGGTACAATACTATTTATAACTGTATCCCATATGCCAAGTAAAGGTACACCTAAATAACATGGCAACTCGCCGCAAACAGGTAAGTTATAATTATATTTATTTGAACATGGTAGAAATATTATCACAACTATATAAAATATAAAGATGTATAGGATTAATATGATAAGGGGCATCGTGTGATAAAGAAAACGTTTTCTTGCAATCAAAAATATTCGATCATGAAATATTAATAAATAACGATGAATAGAACCCCATGCCATAATTATGACACATCCATTATATATTCCTGTATCTACAAACCACCAGACAGTACATAAAGCAGGTGTCGATGGCCAAACAACACCTAGTTGTAAGAAACTAAGATGAAAAGGTATATCGATTAGTTCTATTGCTAATCCAAAAATGAGTAGACAGATAATAATATGATTACCCAACTGAGATTGTAATTTTTTATTGACGAAAAGTTGAAAAAGCAGGATGCATGAACAATAAAAGGATGGAATAAGTAAAATAAGAAAGAGCCAAAAACGAAATTGACGAGGTAAAGAAACTTCTTCTTCGGTAAATAAGCCAGTAAGACTACCGTTGGTGATCATTTTCTACAATAAAT